CCCCCCGTTTACTTTTTGGTTTTGAAGGTGGTTTGTATCAGTTGTCATTTGGTAGGCGCTCAGTTTTTCTGGTTATGCATTTCTTAGCATTATGTATGTTATCCTGTAGAACAAGGAAGGGAAGGCTTTTTTGGTAAAAGTTGCAGCAGATGAAATGTCTGAAACTGCAATCAAAAAATGTGCCCTGCTTGAAATACAGCCGAGACTTTAGATTACGGAGTAGTTTAAAGGTGGCGATGGCTTGTTCTTTTTTCTGTTAATGACTTAAGAAAAGTACTCGGGGTATACACACACGGTGGTCAGGGAGGGAGAGGAGCAAAGATTATGAAGATTGGTTTTGTTTCTTCCTGCTTTGGAAGTGTCTTGAGCAGTGAAATCTGATTGTTGAGCTCTTACTGGGGGAGAGGGGAAAGTGTATATATTCACGTACGTATATTCTCTCTCTCGCTCTCTCTGGCGTTGTACTTGTAATGCAGAGTTATTGAGCAGAGACTGTGGGTTTACACAGATTTTTTTCATTAGTTCTAGGTGAAATTTAGTATTGAATTTTCTGTACTATATCAACCTATCAAAATGTTACATTTGGGTTCTGTTCTCCTGCTGCAGCTGTTACACGTAGTTTCAGAATAATGAAAAAGAAATGCTTTAAGCACCTACCCTATGTTGCAATATAACATGTATTATGGGTAGGAAATTTCAGAGAACTAAAAGGCTTGTAAAACCTGACAAATACAAATGGCACTCAACTTACAACAGCTGTGTCAGAAAACCCAGCCATTTAATCATTCCTCATGCTCTGCCTGAATCTTCTAGGCATTAGTATTGCTGAATGACTCTTTTTCTTTTCAGTGGCGTTCTCAGTAGAACACATATTACTGCCACAATGCCTCAAGGAAGCACAGATAATCTGGATGAGCAGCAGGTGCAGCTCCTGGCTGAGATGTGCATCCTTATTGATGAAAACGATAACAAGATTGGAGCAGATACTAAGAAAAACTGTCATTTGAATGAAAACATTGATAAAGGTACAGCTTGCTTACTAATTGAACCAATAAGTGTGATTCCATATTTTCACAAATATATTAATTAAGTTAAAGTCACTCGCAGGTGGGTGCTGATCAAACCAGGACAAGGCTTCCCTGCAAGGCTTACAGTGTCAAATTTCAAAGAGTTGCACTATGAGGGAACAAACCATTAGAGGCAGTAGCAAAGGAGAGAAATGAGTGATTACAAATATAAGCTGTATGTTTTGCAGAATATTTAGAATCATGCATTTTGGTTTTAAAATAGTATTGTTTTTCTCTTACGTGTCTGACTCTGTGTGGCTCTTCTAGAACACCACATGCTTCTTTGCCGAGTTCTTTATGAATAGAATAGACTGATTTTCGGTGGCTAGGGCAGAGTTCTGCCCCAGCTACTGGCGATCGGAATGTTTTGTGTTGTCATTTTAATTGCTTATCAGTTTTATTTTTCGTTGGTCAAATTTGTGGATTTTCACGTACTCTTTTTTTGTACTCACGGGCGCTCTGAAGAAGGACATAAAAGCTACGACGACTAATCCAATTTATGGATACTAAGCCTTACTAGAAGCTTGCCTGGATGGGCACCTTCAAAATGGTGAACAAACAGAATTTAGTAGATCTCTGCTGTTGTCTTCTTGTTCTTAGCACTTCTATAATTGCCTAATGTTAAGTCTAAGTTGAAGTAGAAACCTAAGTGAGAGTTTTTCCTCAAAACCTTGTTTTTTAACATGTATGATTTTTGACTGTTGTGGGTGTTTGGCTTTATCTTCTAGGCTATTAAACTCTTATCCTTTTTATGTTTTTTTTCCTCCATTAAATAACTTTCTGTGCTTTTGTTTTTAGGATTATTGCACCGAGCGTTCAGTGTTTTCTTATTCAATACAGAAAATAAACTGTTGTTGCAGCAGAGATCATATGCTAAAATTACTTTTCCAGGTTAGTACAGACACATACCATACTTACCCATATGTTTTGTTTAAAACGATGCCTGTCTAATCTTGAGTGCAACTCATAGTGAACTTTAGAATTTACTTCTTTGGAGAGGTTATACTCTCAAAATAGTTTGAGAAGTATTTTTTTCACGGATGAAGCAAGAGAATGGAAACACTAGCTTATTGGAACACGTGTGCTTGGGAAATGATTCTCTTGTGACTTATTTGATCCTGTTTATGCAAATATGGAGTATGTGTTGTTTATCTTCTCTGCTGAAAGGCTTAATTAGTGGAGCTGGAGAAGTTGCTCTGGTACCTAGAGTTTAATTGTTTTAATTCCGCTGTAACGTGAAGTTGATATGTTATGGTGTCATTCTGCTTGGGAAGCAGTTGTATTGTGCTTCAGTCAGAACAGTGTACCTTTTAGAGGTCTTAAATGCTTTTATCGCCTATAGAAAAACTGAAACTGCAGCCAAACTGTATCCTTTTTGAAGACTCCCAAACTATTGCTAGCAAATGCAAAGAAGCATAAAAATAAGTGGCATGAAACAAAAATAGCTTACATGAGACACATTGGAAAAAACCTAAAGCTTTCTGTTTCAGAATTGCAGCTCGAAAACAAACTTGTTTCTAAGCTTTCCCAACTTGAGGAAGAAAGACCTTTCTTTCCTTCCTGAAATTTTTACTTTAAAGAATTGTGTTTTCCTCAATCATTAACTAATCAAAACGGTCAAGTGTAGTTTGTAGGTAATTAGACTATATTTTAGATGCTCTTGAGTTAGATTCTTAAAGATCAAAGGTTGGCTGATGAGGGCTGCGTTACTGATTAGTAATTTTTAATATGCTTGATGCAGATTATGGAGGGTCTGTTCTTTTAAGTGCAGGTGTAAACTGCCTACATGCTGCTTCTACTGTCAGCCGATTTTGCAAGTTGCGGGAGAATTCTCAAAGCTCTGTTACGTATAAACCCCCTAAAGTTACTTTAAATAGCATTTGCAGATAAACAGGGTCTTTTTAAACTGGCTTTTTAGGTAGAGGCTCTCTTGGGTCAGAGGATGAATGTGTTTGCATATATCAAACACTTAACGTGCCAAGTAGTACTTGATGGGGGCAATCCCTGTGCAAAAGGAAAGAAAAATAAGAGTTGAAAATATCCTCCTTGCCGTCTGACCTTTCTCCTCTACAAAAAAGAAACAACACTCTGAGATATTGAATTGCTGTCTTGCACCTCAGGGTTTTTGAAATGCTTTATACTGCTTTAACGCTGTATTGATACAATCTCGCAGGTTGTTTTAGCAACACTTGTTGTAGTCATCCGCTAAGCTATCCACTAGAACTGGAAGAAAATGATGCCATTGGTGTTCGGAGAGCAGCACAAAGACGACTGAAAGCAGAATTAGGAATTCCCATGGAGCAGGTAAAGGAAGGAGGGGAAAAAGGGGAAATCTTCTTTGATTGATTGATTTACACACCAAGTGCATCTGGCAAACAGGGTCAGCCTGAGACCTAAAAATGAATTCAACTTCAGCTTTGGAGATGTAGCGGACTTAAAGAATATGAGATTTTTTGTCCTATGTTCTGGAGTCTCAAAGGCTTATCTCACTGTGTGGTATTTTAGAGTATTTCAATGCTAAAACTAAATATGAGCCAAAAAGTAAATCACACAGTAACGAAGCATTTTATTGCTTCAGTTCTAACTGTGGGTGCCTGCGTTGTCCAGTTTGGCTAGCTATACTGCTTGCCCAAGTGGTATGAGAAGGCACTGTGCTGTACTTCCTCCAGGCCCGCAGCAGAATCTGCTGTAGGGGTTCTGTACAGCTGGCTCCTGGAGGGCCTTGCTGTGAGCATGCTGGACAGCGCGTCCATGCAGTGCCAAGTTGCCTGCGGGAAAGAGCAGCCAGGACACTAGGTGTTTCTTCCAGAACAATCACACGACCTACTTCTGGTAACCTTCTTTTGGCAACTTGGGAGTGCATAGAGAGCAGGGTGAAACTGGCTGAATTATACTGGTGGTTGAAACCTCTTTCCACACTGTATAACTAAGTATATTTGCATCACGGGATGAGGGAGAAACGGTGTGATACTGGGAAATGAGATGGTTAGGTTGTCCCAGAGTCACTTAGTTTGTCTGCAACTGGCGCTACTCCCTGGTAGATCAATGCTGTACGTGATTTATCAACAAGCAGTTTTGGTCTTAGCTTTAAATAATTGTCAGGTCTTTTAGTTGGGAACTACGGGGTAAGTGCAGGTGTTTCAGTATTGATTAGTACTTCAGTAAGTGTTTGTCAAGCTCTGGTAAACGTTATTTAAAACTTACATTATTATATAGAAGAAACCTACTCAACATACTATAGGACTGTAGGATAAATCTGACTAGAGAAATGTTGTGTCTTCTATGTGATCAAAGTGCAAGTGCAATTAAAAGGGGTTTCTTTTTCCATATAACTTACTAGTAAAGAAATACATTACAATTGTACACCCAGAAAAAAATAATGTTTTAGGAAGAGAATAGTAGCTGTTAATTATTCTGTAATGTCTAGCAGTTTGTTTTTTGTCTTGCTGCCTGTTCTAACGAGTGTTTTGCTTGTAGGTAACTCCAGAAGAAATCTCCTATCTGACACGAATTCACTACAAGGCCCAGTCTGATGGGATTTGGGGTGAACATGAAATAGACTATATCTTATTTATACAGAAGGATGTAACACTGAATCCTGACCCCAATGAGATCCAGAGTTACTGTTACGTGACACAGAATGAACTAAAACAACTCTTAGACAAAGCCTCCAGGAATGAAGTTATGATTACTCCATGGTTTAAACTAATTGCGGAGACCTTTCTCTTCAAGTGGTGGGATAACTTACCTAACTTGAATACGTTTGTTGATCATGAAAGAATACATAGAATGTAAATGGCCATGGGTGAAAGATGCTGAAGGCTAGCAATGACATGCCGTCTCACTAACGGTGTGTGGTAATTCAGACTCAAGTGCTTTAAAAAAAAAATGGTCCATCTGGAGCACATTTAACAAGTAACTTCATACAGAGATTGTTATAGTCTTTTTTTTTTTTTTTTTTCCTCAAATGCCTCCCCTAACCCCTCCTTCCCTGTGGGTGAATTTAGCTTGGTCTAATTTAAAATGAGTAATGGTAACATAACAAGCCTCCTTGCTTTGTCTTTCTCCATTACCCTCGTCATGTGATGTGAAAGAAACCTTAAGCTGTGTGTACCCATGTTGCTCTTATTTCCTTGTGTAATAACTGTGTGTGCTGGCAAGGGAATTTGGATATCACCTGTCCAGCTTGTTCAGTAGAGATAGTATCCTTTCAACTTCACATGACTTACTTAAACTCATTTCTAATCGATATTTCTAAAGATGGAGTTCTACACTGATGTGGGGAAGACTGGTTCCCTAAAGAAAACCAATTAGTTCAAAGCAATCAAGATAATTGCAAATAGACCTCTTCAGCTACTGTACTGTCTCATTTAAAAAAAAAAAACCAACAACAACAACCACCACCACCACCAGTACATAAAAGCTTAAATAATTAGATTGTCTGTGTGGACTGAGTTCTTTGAAACTTGAAATCTTGCACTAATACAAAAAAAAAAAAACAGAGATCATTTAGTGTATCTGAAACTTTTAGTATCTTTTGCAATGGTGCATCGTAAAAAAGGTCTGTCATAGCTTCAGATAATAAACGCTTCCACCCCTCCCCCTTTCTGGTTAAGTAGTAACTAAATACTGACTAGTTTTCTGGACATCTCTAATTGAAAAGAAATGGTCAGTTATACCAAACGTGAATGCTAGATACCTAACATAAGTTGACCCCTCCTTTGGAGGAGGGGTATGCTTTAGATGGCACTTCTCCAACTTCCAGAAAACAAAGGCATTCTGATGCAAGCTTTTTTTCTTTCAGTATCTGCTATGAGACCCTTTTTGAAGTCCCTGAAAACTCAAGCCTGCTATTTAAGTAGTTGTTAAAACTCCAAAATTTAAGCTTGAAAGTTTATGGGTTTACACTATGTCTTAAATTTTAGTCACTGAGAAATTCTACTTGAGTGTCAGAGCTACTCTTTTTTGATCTTGCAATCAGTTACTGGTTAGCAGAGTAGGGTTGTGTTTTGTTTTCTTTTTTTAATAAGACAGTGAATGATCAAGGGTATCACAGTTTGAATTTAAGTACAGGTTTTTTGTCCCTGAAAACCTTAATTGTGATGTCTTCTGATAGCAGACCATTCAAAAAAACTAGTTTTTTTTTGAGGTTAATCTCTACCACAGTTTTCCTAATAAAATAGGATGTTGTTTATCAGTTCTCCCTGGATGTGAAACATGGCTGTAACTAGTCTGTGCCTGGTTACAAAGTAAAGGTAGATTTTTTTCAAAAGCTTAACCATTTTTCTCTTCCTCATCTCGGCTGTTGCAACAGTTATGACTGCAGCATTGAAGCTATTATGTATCTCTTCTGGTTCAGCGTTTAAAGTTTTCAGGTCAATACACAACAACTTGACCCTAACTGATGTGTTCTCTTAAAAGCAAATAATGGTGGGAGGGGGGAATAGTAAAGTAACAGCTCTGTTGAATTCAGTGCAATCAGCTACATGACCCAAGTAATGTATTAAAGTACTTTTTAAAGAAATGTGATTTTAAGGATAAGACTAAGGATTAAAATACTTAACCTAAAACCTTGGACTGTGGGGGATTTTCTTTTGTTGTTGTTTTTGTTTTTTTTTCCCCCAGACTTACAGCTATGTGAAGAGTAACCTCTGGAGTTACTAGACTATAAAGAACAAACTGCCTATTAAACATCACTAAAGCAATGTGATTGGGGGTGGGTAGCAGGGCATAACTTTGTTTTAACAAAGTTCTACTTATCTAGTTCAAATGGCCAGCTTGGAACAAAAGCTGACAAAGCACACCCTGAAATAGAAAGAACATGTATAAAGAAGCTGTAAGCAAAGTTTTGCTACCAGGTTTTTTTTTTTTTTTAAGCAAAACATCACAACTTTTAAAGAAGTTTTTGACATTAATCTTTACAGAATTTGAGAATGTTTTCTAATACAAAGCTTCCTGCTTTACTAGAAGGGGAAAGAAATCAGAATTATACATAATGTTCCATTATATAAGTTGGCAGCTGAACAGCCCTGTTCTCCTTTTGTATTTGAAAGAGGTAGTTGGGGAAAAAAAAAAAAAAAGATTAAGGATCCCCCTGCCTTGCCGCTTTGGTACTATTTTACATGTGCATTTTATTGGACTTCAGTTTAATCTTAAAAACTGTGTTTTATAATTGCTTTGTTCGTGCACTACATTTATAATGCATAATTTTACTAGCCTCTAGATATTTCCTACCTTGTTTTTAACTAGAGACAGAATATATTTGACAGAATATATAATATTCTCAGAATATTTGACAGAATATATTTTGTCTTGAACAGATACACAACTTTTAGTACATCAGCCTCTAAAGAAAAAATGTATTCCTAAACTGGGAATGACAGTAGCATAATTGACATGAACTTAAGGGAAAGTTTTGACTCTCTTACATATTTATTTCAAATATGTAAAAATCCCGGTTGTAACTTTACCTGCCCATGTTATTACAGGCGTGATTACAGCTCAGTATTGAAACAGCAACTACTCCTCCAGCTTCAGGGATTATTTAGCTTAGTAAACAGGCAAATATTTTTCCTATTCGTTCAAAACTACTTCAGTGCACAAACACTAACTTTGTACAGTGCTTGTCAGTCTCCCATTCCTTCCTCTGGAAAGACTGTGATCAAGGTAAGGGTATCACTTTCATTAGAAGTGTGAAAACAGTGAAAAAGGTCAGTATTCTCAGCCACCCTTCCCCCAGAAAAGTGCAACATGAACTCACCTCTTTTACACATCAAAGAATTAACTCAAGCGCAGACAAAGTACAGAAAGCCAAGCCTCACTGGTTCAGTTTCTTAAGGGTGCATTTTTAGTTCTCTTCGGATTTTTACCTCCAGCCACTTTACATTTCTACATTTCTAGATTTAACCTCATTTTAAATCTAGTTTTACATGAAATTTTAAATACTTAATATTGCTACAAGAAGGACATGACTAAGAAAATCAAGTGGCATTTCTGATGTCTGTTTACAAGTTGTTGTGCCACTGGTTTTGACAGAAGTTTCTTGTGCTATAACCCCCACAGAACTGCAAGAGCAAGACGCTACAATTGTTCCTCTCTGAGCTTCAAATATCTTAACCCTCAATACCAATGTATACTTTTTTAATACTCCGCTTTCACTAAAAAGGAAAACAGGACCAGAAATTAGTTTTAATAAACTTATGTTTTAATTCAGAAGGCTCATCTTCTTTGAGTTTTACCAGATTTTCTCTTTCCAGCCAGCAGATGTTTTGGCTTAGAATCAAATACATGTCTGTCCGCCTCTCCTTTCCTGCCCAGGCGATTCATTTTCTTTTGAGCGTTCTTTGCCATAGTCTTAACCTTCTTCACCATCTATTTAAAACCAAACAAATAAACAAACTGAGTAACTTCTCCAAATAGCTTTACCTTTTAAAAACACAAAGGTTCACGATTTTAAGGAAGACATGAAATAATACACAACATAAGCCACCTACTGCAACTCCACAACAGTATCACAACAGTATCAGTGACGCTAATTTTCCTTAGCGAAACTTTTTTCCAATACAAAAAAATGTGATGTTGCTATCCCTGGAGCTCCTAACTCATTATAGGCAGAACTGCACTGTTTGATTATGGAGCACGTTCAGTTTTAGTTTTTACTCCTCTTTTTTATTTGCAGTTAGAGAATTACATTTTTAAAATGTAGTTTCTTAGTCTGTACTACTACATGTTATTTTTAAGAATGAATTAGGTCCTTGGGAAGGTACAGTGACTTCAAACCAACAGTATGAAGCCAGACAAAAGAGAGATGAACAGGAAGGAGTTCTATTTTTCCAGATCTTCTTGACAAATATAACCAGCTCAGAATTAAGTTTCCCAGAAGACAATTTAAATAAAATCATGCTATTTTAGTTCCTACAAAGGTAGATAACTTTAACAAACCTTAGCATCACGAAGACCAGAGACATCACGCGGTGGGCGAGACGAACTGCGACTGCGTGCCACAGATTTAGGGGTTTCAGATTCGTCGCGTTTACGTTTCCTTGTGACGCTACGGGACCTTCTTGCGTAATGTGCCTGAATTTCAAAACAGTATTTTTATTATTAAAAATAGGAAAAATCAGCACAGACAGATGCTGGGATTTCAAATTAGGTTAATATTCCTTCATCCATTTCAAATCAGGTTAGTACGAAAAAGCAGGACACGAACTGGTGTAATACATTAGTTTGGCTATACCGTAGCAACATAAAGCCCTTGTCAACTGTTGATCATCATCTGTCTGTCCTACAGCAATATTCAAATTTTAGTGAATATTAGCATGTTCTCTTAAAAAGTAATTCCACCGTTTTCTGATTTTTTTTGAGTAAACTCATGGATAAAAGCTCACAGAAAAATTGATGGATAGCAATACTGAAGCAATTTTACAACAACCGCAAAAAAGCAATGAAGAAACCCACTGTGATTACTGGCTATCAGTCTGTAGGTCAAAGCACAAAAGAATTTCAGACATAAAGACTACCATCCTACAGCGTAAGTATTACGTTCTTCCTCACGGAGATAGCTTCTAAATCAATATGGCATGTCAGCTCTGAGAACCATAAATGTTTTCTTCAGATGTATAATGTTGACATTCCTTGTTCCCTAACACTTGGTTTATTTAAAGAATTAAGGTCTCAAGTTCCAGATAGCCGTAACAGTGCTAAATTTGCCATACAAAATGATTTTTTTTAATTTGATAAAATTAATGAAAAATAATAAGATAAAATGATTCCTCAAGGCAAAACTAGGTTCAGAAGTCCTACTCCATGACTGTATTGCATCTAAAAATGCCAGCCAGGCAATCAAAAACTTTAATTAGAACTCATAGCATTAATGAACTGTAAAAAGATAAGCCTGATCTGTTCATTATTACTATTTCTGACATAACAGTATCCCATCCAAAAAAAAAAGTCTCAAAACTTTAAGAAGTATGTTTAGCCAGTCTCAATTTGTAAACCAAGTTCTTGAATCCTATACAAATTCAAACAAAGTTCTAATAGAAAGCAGTGCATATGTACATTTGGGATTCCTTATACATACTTGGGGGGGGGGGGGGGGGGGCGGTAAGGGACAAGCACCCG